GGGGGGGGGGACGCAAGTGTCACCGGGGGCCTGAGGTGACACAGGACTTTGAAGATTTGATGCAGGCGACGGTGGGATACTTTAACTTCTGCGCGTATCCCTTCTACGGAAAGACTTACGGTAGGTTGCGCAAGAAAGATTCCACACAACCCACGGATTTTCAAAGCTCGTCATATACTACGGGTTGGAAAAAAACAGCTGGTACACTGTGCCGAAAGTCGCTTGTCCCCGCAATGACAAACAGATATTTAGCACTACGGTTTTAACAGAAGGCCGGATTGAAGGAGCGTGTTCTCGGCTTGTCCTTACCCCCCTCTTCAAACCACATCCGCAACTGCTGTACTGCTGTGCCAGACCATGTTTTTCTAAAAGAAAAATTGCATACAAAATCTACGTTCTAAATAACTTCTCTACTACTTGTGGCTCCCGCCTCGCCTGGAGGATGGTGTAGAGGCTCTGCAGGGTGGCCTCCCTCGTGTCCACGTGGGGCGTCAGCGCGAACAGTCCCATGGTCCTGAACAAGACCCCCTCGAAGGCCTCCCCGCCCCCGACGGTAGTCCTCCTCGCCGCCCTGCCCCGGACCGCCAAGAAGACGCCCCCAACGTCGCAGTCGAACACCCACCGAAAGGGCGCCTCTTCTTCTCCGAACCCTTCGAGGCGGGCTCGCAGACCCAGAAAGTTCGGAAGGAACCCTTCTTCCTGCCCACTGGGGGGGCCGTTCCCTCCCCTTGGGGTAGGGGGGGCGGCCGTTGTCCCGCCGCCGCCGCCGCCGCCGCCCGACGTTGTTGTGGTTGGTGCGTCGGCAGCACTGCTAGGGCTGTTTCCCGGTGGAGGGGAAGGGGCATTCGCCGGAGGAGTGGGACCGGTGCCAGTGCTGCCAATGGCTTCGGGAGAGGCGGTGTTGTCGTTGCTGCTGTCTGGAGGAGCGGGGGAGGAGGCGGCCGGGAGGGGGTGGAGCCTTTGCACGCCGTCCACGATGAGCTCGCGGAGCGCCCGCACCGCGTACTCTCGCTTCGCCGGCTCCCTGGCCTTGGCGACTACCCGGAGGTGTCCGGAGACCAGCTCCCACACCACCGGCAGACGCCACGTGTTGGCCACGGCGCACTCGACGACCTGTGCAACAGCAGCAGTAGCACCAGGAGTTGTGAACAGGCGATGAAAGGTCGGCTGTTGGTTATTTTGGCAAAAGAGGGAGTACTTGTAAAGGAAATAGAGGAAGGTTGAGAGAGTCGGTTTTTCCAGAAGCTGGAGGAACCCTGCGCACAAGCTTTTATTCAGGACCAAAACGCCGCGGTAGGAAAACCCGCTGTGCAGTCGACGCAAGTGAGCGTCAGATAGTGCAGGGAACAGCGTGCGCGCAACCGCGTGTTTCTATTTTGGCCCCTCCGCACAAGGTGCAAAAGCCAAACCACAGGGCACACCAACAAAATATACTTCCACCGCAGTGTAGGGTACAGCCGGTGATCGGAGGGGGGATAGAGGACCCGGCGTTTGTGCGTTTGCTCGTCGACGATGCTATTCGCCCAGAAGGCAGTGGGAAGACAAAGGGCAATGGTGCTTGGAATCGACGAAGAACCTCGCGTCCACAAACCATGTACTTCTTGCTAGGAGACAGGAGTAACACGGGAACGAACGAACAGCTGACTGACACAGCGCTCTCACAAGGCGAGATGAAACCCAGGGGATGTGAGCTCTAGCTTCCCCGAGTCCCCCTTTCGCAGCTTTCGCGCTCATGTTCACGTTGCTGCTGCTGTTGCTGTTGCTGTTGCTGTTGTTGCGGTTGTCCCGATCCCGGTTCAAGACCTCCCGGCCTTCGGACATGGCCGCGCCAACACCCCTGCACAACAAGCACGCGGCAGAAACGGTCATAGTCACACGTTAGCCTGGATGATGTCTGCATCAATCTGTAACTGCTTCATCCTGCAACGTCAATGACTTGGATTTTCTTTTTCTTTTTTTCGGGGGATGCACTTTTTAGAACCGAAGCATAAAATTACGCAAGGATGCCGAAATCGACAAAAAAAAAACGATCACAACCGATGCATAAAAATCACGCAAGGATGCCGAAAACGACAAAAAAAAAAAAAATCAAGACTACAACATGAGCAGCGTTTGTCACACAAGACCCCCAAGCAATATGATGCAAAGAGAGACGGGGAAGCTCTGTGCTGTGTCGTCGACTATCGACTAGGCCCAACGTTGTCTCGTCTCTCTAACCCTAACCCTAACCCTAACCTCGCTGCCGCCCCCTAACCCTAACCCTAGCCCTAACCCTAACCTCGCTGCCGCCCCCTAACCCTAACCCTAACCCTAACCCTAACCCTAAACCTAACCTCGCTGCCGCCCCCACGAAGGACACGAGCCCGCTTGCGGCGGCAACGGCGGCCGCGCCAGCCCCTCTGCCTTCTCCGCCGGCCCCGTTGGCCTGCGACTGGGCCGCTCTGCCGGCGCGCGAACATGGAATAAACAGCACAGCACGTGACATAATGGGTGCAGTCAGCTGATTTACGATAAAGAGTGGGCTACGACTAACAGGCACAGATGAACCTCAGGAAGACTAAGTCACAGAAAATAGTCAAGGGTCCACTTTAGAGGTTAGGTTTTAGGTATATGAACGCATGTGCCAGCAAGGAGGAGAGGGAAAGGATGAGGTACAGCAACTTCAAAAAGGGACAACATTCATAAGGGTACTGTAAGGTACAGTAAAACAAAGAGCCCGGCTAGACAGGAGTGAGGTACAGGAACTGCCAACAAGGGGCAGGAAATCAGGTACAACAACCTGGTCAACAAACGTCAAGAAAAGGCATAAGCTTGATCAAAACCGGCTCGATACATACCCCCTGCATAACACTCAGGGGACCGGAGACAAAAAACAAAACAAACTTGTCCTTGCCAAATTACAGCATACAAGCAAGCATCGTCCACAGGGAGCCTTGTCAAACAAACGTTAACGTTGGTAAAATCGTCAAGACAAGGTACAACCTTCATAAGTCAACACCGGCTCGATACATACCCCCTGCACAGCACTTGTAAAGGGGCCGACGAAAAAAAAAAACGCCGCGGGACGGTGGCGGCATGCGACTTGACGACTCACTCTCGCTCTCTGGCGATAGAGCGCTCCTGCGGCAGCACGGTGGACGTGTTGGCTAAGTCCACCACCGCTAGCGCCTGCAGCGAGGACATGAGGCCGTACAAGGCCTCATCTTCCAGGCAAGTCGAGAACTCCACTAGACGCTCCTGGGACACGACACACACGCGCGGGCAGCGCAGAAAAGCAAAACACCGAAACGGTAGAGGGAGAGAGAAAGGGAGACAGTTATACCAAGTCGAGAACTCGGACTATTAATAGACGCTACGGGACACATACAAACACGCGCGCAGAACGCCGAAAAATAAATCAACGCAACAGCAAGAAACGGTACAGGGAGAGAGGAAAGAAAAAAAAAACATCAATAGGCGCGCGCAGCGCAGACAAGTACAGTACAACACCGAAACGGCAGAGGGAGAGACAGAGGGAGACAGAGTTTTACCAAGTCGAGAACTCCACTAGACGTTCCTGGGACACAAACAAGCGCTACGCAGAAAAACCATTTAAGCACAGAAAAGAGGGACATGGTGGACGAACGATATGTACGTATGAGCCTAGATTTCGCTGAACGATTAATCGGAACGGAAACACAACCAGCAGGATGACCAGAAAACATGGGGCATAAGGACACGTGTGGAGAGCGCGATTGACCTCTTCGTATGCGCGCGTATTGTACGTCGGAAGACAGGAACAGAAAGAAAAAAAAAACATGCAACACAAGAACAGCGTAGCTGGTCAAAACAACTCGCTACGACGGGGGGTTTATCACACAAACCAGCCCCCTTAGAGAGAACAGAATCGCATCAAATGGAGACGCTGCGAAGAGCGTACGACAGCAGTACATGTTTTGTACAAACCAACAAGACAACAACAGCAATGGAAAATGGCATCATGAACACAACGCCCTCACTCTCATTCGAACCCCTTTCTCTCTTCTGCCTAACCCCAAGGGACAAACCACTTGAATCCAAAAAAAGAAAATGCACCTCGCAGAAACGTGGCTACATGCCCACGCCCTTCCGCCCTCACCGCTGCCAGGAGAACCTCGTTGCAGTGCCGCTCCACCTCCAAAAGCTCCGTCTCGGGGGACTGCGGGGACCACCTAGGTCTCGCGATGGCCCTCCTGCCGAGGAGACCCGCAGCCTGCTCGAGGGTGTCCAAAATCACATGCCAACACCCACGCAGGAGGTTGCCCAGGCGGTGCACCACCTGGAGGACGCTCTCCAGCGTACCTTACGGTATGTAGCAAATGTTTTGACGACGCAGGAAAAGGGTGAGGGGCGTTTTATATGCATACAGTACGTGGCGCTTTTTTTTCCAAAGTTGAAGTTCGGGCTGATTCCACAGCTGGGAACTTTGAGAAACGGGTTCGAAGGCAAAAAAAAAAACAAATTTTCCAATAACTTGGAAGCTATAGATATTCCAAATTGTCTGGGCTTTACTCAATGTCGGAAAAAATTCCAATTTTTTCAATGACTTCCTCCAACATTTTGGAAGTAGAAAAATTGGAAAAATCAGCCATCCATAAAACGCCCCTGAGTGGGGTGGCAAAAGGTCGTCTCTTTCTTCTCCATCCAGCATCGGTGATGGTGCGGGCCAACGCACAGGCTGATCACGAAAAAATAACTCGACCAAATCAAAAAGCACAGGTAGTTCGTTAGGAGACGAAAAAGGGGAGGTGAAGCAAGGAACGGATGGACAAAGTATATGGGGCCAAGAACATGGGGATGAGGGAAAAACGGGGGGGGGGGGAGAAAACATGAAAAACATGGGAGGGAGAGAACGGGGGCGTCGAGTTGTCCGTGTAGACTGCAGCAAAGACCCTTTTCAGTGTGTGTGTGCGGGGGGGGTTATGCGGTCTACCAGTACACCTCTTCTCAGATGGCTCTGTTCGACCAGAGGAAGGATGAGGAGAGGGAGGGAGGGATCACCAAATTACTGGAGGGGGCACCGCAGAATACCCCCAAGATACTCTCATATTCCAAGCACGAGCAAGCGCCCGAACATGTCAAAACGTCACCCCGTTTTTTTCTGGAACCTGCTCCTCCCCTCCACCGACAAAACAACGATCGATTGGCGCGGTCCTACTGTAGGACACCATGCGCCACAAGCACACATACAGTGGCACGTGGCGCAGAGGTAGCGTGCGAGGCTCATAACCTCGAGGACCCAGGATCGAAACCTGGCGTGCCATGATTTTTTTTTGACACAGACACTACGGATTTTATTTAAAACTTGTTCAAGTTGTAGCTATGTGTAGTTGAAGTTTTTTTTCGATTGCGGTAAACGAAGAACAAATATTGCTTTTGACTCAGCGTCCGAGATGGAGCGATGGGCTGGCTCTCTTTTTGTTTCCGTTTTCTTGCTATTTTTGCCGGTTTTTTTTTTCTCTTCTTTTCTACGCTGCTGTCCCAAACCCATGCCATTTTGTTCCATCGAAGTCCACGGTTCCCATTCGGGGAACAAATTATATTTTATTCTTTTCCTGGAGTTGCTTTTCTCGAAATTTCCGTTCTATCTGGCAAGCGATGGGGCGATGGGATATATTGTCTGGGCTTTCCACTTCGTTTTCGCGCAACTCATTTCTTGGTTACAGCAGTAGCTTGTGAGCACGGGGGGTGGCTCGTGTCCTGCCTCGAACCACGCGAAGGGAACGTGAACGGAATGGACTGGACTGGATAGATACACAAGTCTCGAACTGTTCCTTGACTCCACGACAACAGCTTAAACTGCGCCTCACTCAAACATGTACTCCTAAGTCAACACTGAAATCTCGAAAATTCTGGTGTATTCTGGTCCCTGGGGTCATCAACAAGGAGGTGCTTCCACAACAACGCGGCGTTCTCTGTAACTGCTGTCCAACCATACACGAGAGGTAGAGAAAGGCCCGCGAACGCTCTCGGTAGTAAGCCGGAGCCGAAGAACGATGAGAGCAATCCATTTTCCATTGTCTTCAGGAAAATATAACATGGTACTGCGCAACACAAAAGACGGGGCTACCCTACCCGTTCGAGATGATAGCCCGTTGCAAGGGATGTGTTCCAAGTCTTTCTGTACACTCATGTTATTTTTTCATCACGAAGCAGCAGTCGAACAAAGCACCGTGGAAACATCCCTCAGTGCGAAACCCATCGCCGGGGGCAAACCTACCTGTACCCCAAAGGGGCCTTGAAAAAGATTAATTGCGCTTGGCAAAGTCTTCAACATGGGTTTGCGGTCTATTTTCGGTTTCGGATCCCATCCGGGTCCAGCCGGATACACACGCAAAAGTCCCGTGATCCCGGACTTCCTGAACCTCAGCACGCTCCCCCCCCCAATAAAACGCACGGAACCCCCTGGTGCACGAAAGTAACCGACTCATCGACTCACCGACATGATTCCAGCCGAGGGCGGGCGAACCCCCGCCGTGTACCCCCCCTCCCGCCGCCCCGCTACTAGCGCCCCCGCCGACAACGACGTCGGTGCCGTGCCACTGGGGAAGGCTGAACCGGCACAAGCTGCCCATGAACCCGTCCAAGGCGTTTTCGACACCTGAGAGACAAAGAAGGAGAGAGAGAGACAGGTAGAGAGATATATATATAGAGAAGGAGGTCGTCAACAGAAGAAACAAAAATCTGTTAGAATCTGGTGGCCGGGCTGACCAATAACTGAAACTACGTGGAAGGCGTTCACAGAATAAATAATAAAACAGTTGGAATCAGGGGTGGCGGGCGGACCAATAACTGATTCAGTGTCGTAGTGATGCGCAAAGCTCTCAAGAAAGAGTGTGTGTCGGCTGATGCTACGATGAGGGGTTACAGGTAGGGCCGTAGCGCTTAATGTCGGGAGTTTTTCCAGAACAGATGTTCGGAGCCTCGAATGCTCAAAAAGCTTCTGGTCCGAGCTGCTCGCTTGTAAAACAAACAGCGCTACCAAAAAAAAGGAAGGGTAAAATGATTCCGAGGTACTATCCTCCTTCAGAATCTAACTCGTCACGCCCACAAGATACACTACACCATGGCATGGAAATAATCCATCTACATTAACTCGTCACGCCAACACAAGACAAACAACGCCACGGCATGGGAGCAGCCTATATCAAACACCGCCTCCTTCCATCTAACCCAGGATGCCCACAAGACCAAACAGCGCAATGGCATGGAAATAGCCCATCTCCATAAGACACTTCATTCTTCCATCTTACCCGGGACGTCCACAAGATACATACACAACGTACGGAGGCAGCCTATCAAAAACGCCTCCTCCTTCCAATCTTACCCAGGATCCCCGCGGCTACGGCGAAGGCCTTGTAACCGTCAACCGCGGTCGACACAACGATAGGGTCCGAGCAGTGCATCATGACGTGACTCAGGGAAGACAGCACCGGACCCCATACGACCTCGCACATCCTCTTGAGCGTGTGCCGACGGCTGCGATCGGGAGGCGATTCCCCCGGCACAAGCCCCACGGAACTGACAAATGTATTAACGTTGGGGGGGGTAGGTGGTCGCATGCAAAGGAGGGGGGGGGGGGGGTGAGGTGTAAACCTACTATCCAAAATTTCCCATCCGGCCTTATTACACCCACAACCGCAACTCTAACCCCTGTTTTCCCACAAACAAAAATACCCCCCCCCCCCCCCCCCCCAACAAAAAAAAATACCCCCCCTTTTCCAAAACCCCCCGTTTTTCCCCCCCCCAAAAATCCCCCTTTAAAAAAAACCAATTTTCCCTCCAAAAAAGAACCCTCCGGGGGCCCCCAATTCAACCCCCCCCTTAAGGCCCCAAAAACACCCCCCCCCTCTCCCCCAAATTTTTTTTGGACCCCAAAAAAAAAAAACCCCCCAAATTTATTGCGG